CACAGGACTTTCCTGACAGTCACACGCCTAGTGTTTGAGGGGTGAGGAGTACTTGGAAAGCATTGCAGTTGGAGAGATGCGCACCTATGTTGATGAATGTTTCTTGAAATAGTTAACTGCCTTCCAGTAAAAGCTCCCAGTTCCCAGAAAAGCCCTAAAACGAGCATCTGGAGAGCCTAAGCCCTTTAAAAGGATTTTAGCTGATCTGCAGGCATCTGGATGTTAGCCAGGGGTTTGGGCTAGATGCCACCTTACTAAAGGATGATAGTATGTTTCCCTGGAACATTCCTATGGTTTCTAGTAGTAATGAAATGTTGTGTACCACTCCAGTGGGAACCTAAACTCTTAGTAGTTGTATTGTAATTGAAAAATAATTATAAAGCAAGAAATCAGTGAGGTTCTGTTTCCTCTAGAGACACAGTTTCATTTATGGTATCTAGCTTCCTCAAACCCTTTGTTATAACTGGTGGAGTATAAATTGTGAATAGAGAAATAAATATGGGGCCATTTTATTGTCAGGCAATTTCTTCCTAGGATGGCAACTCTCAATTTGTTTTCTACCAGTTTTCCAGTCTGTTATCCGGCTTTCATTCTTATATTCTTGGCAGACTCACTGACCAAATGCTAATAAAATCAAATTTGTAGCACAAATTTATATATGACTTTATATCACATGTGCTGAGTTCTGTTTCTTAGCAAGCCTGAAAAGAGATGACTTTTTTCTACCAGTCCTCCCCAAGCTGGCAAATGAAATACAGCCTGCTTAAGTACTGAGCAGGGGACAACACGTTTCAGAAGATGCTGAGGGGGTGGGCATCGCTGCTCATGGTTTCAAACTTCAAAGACAGAGGTAGGGATACTAGCTCTCTTCTACCTGGATGTGTAGCAACGGCCTGGACCCCATCCCAGTTAGAAGGTTGGGAGACTCTCTGAGCCTGAACCCTGATAGCCAAGTGGTTCAGATGAGTGAGTGGAAAAGAATGCCAGGTCCACACTGCTTTGAGAGCTTGCCAAGCCTGACCATGCCTGCGAAGGGCTTATTGGTTGCCTCGGCATTATAATCAGGAAATGAATAGCTCTGAAGATTTCTGGCAGAAGCTTTTCGGGAAGCTGAGTGTTTGGAACCCAGTTCCTACTCAAACATTTCAGTGAAGGGCAGGCAGAATCTCATTTACTTTCCTGTCTACTAACTCACTCTGGCAAGGCAGTGGCCAGTGAGTTGTTTTTTTTGTTGTTGTTTTTTTGGTGGAGCTAACTTTTTCAAGAAGAAAAATTTAGCCCTGTGGACAATTCTGTAATTACTCTGTTCCAAACACTTGGCATGTTTCATGTTCCTGAAAAAGGTCCTCTTGTACTTTGTAAAGTAGGCATACTTCCTTAAAAGAATATGTTTAGAATTCTTACATGTCAGGTCTCATTTTATGTGTACTTGAGAGCTTTCTTTAAATGCTTTATGAAGTATTCTTTTCTGATGGTACAAATTACCTCCCTTATCTGTCCATGTGTTATCCTGTGTTGTCAGGTGACATTAGCTTGACTAGGGGATATCTCTGCTTACTATGTTAAAACCTAAAGTCTGGTATGTTTTTTTTAAGATTGTGGAGACAGGAAATGCCCTCCTGGGGGATTAGTGGTCGTAATATGTAAACACCCCAGAGCAGAGAATCACTTCCCTGCCTCATAACTAAGATAACTAAGTCCTTATAAATGGTGACTTTCTGCAGAGTTTAGATAGACCCAGGCTATAAGTACAGGACCAGCAAATTCCTAAAAGGCTATTTATCTTCATATTAAATTCAATATAGCTCAAAATAGGAGGAGGAACAGGGTAAAACAAAGTTAAGGAGGGCCGGCTGAGTGGCATGTTGGTTAAGAGCGGGCTTGGGACACCAGTTCTGAGCAGCAGGGCCCCGGTTCAGATCCCACATGAGGGCCAGTGACACTGCGCCCTCTATAGCTAAGATGGTGAACAACAGCTCGACCTGGAACTGGGCTTCTGTGAGCCACCGGCAACGGNGACCAAAAATATGCACTGTTCTAACAGGCGTCTGGGCAAAAATTTTATTGAGTTTCATTGACCTGATACCTGTGGCTGGAAGAAAATGAGAGTCAAATAGTTTTCCTCCAGCCATTTGGGCCAGAGGAATGGGCCGTACTTGAGCCAAACGTCCACCCCCTCAGCTACCAGGCACTGAGTATGGAAGGGCGGGCCAGGATCCTTAGGAGAAATCAGATTGCTATTGCCAAATGAGGGCACAGATACTGGCATCTAAAACCCAGCAAATGTCCACCTCGGAGATTTTCTCCTCTGCCAGAGGATACAGTATTCTTAGGGGAACCATAAGTGGAATGTAGAGCTAGGTTGTGTTGGAAAGCTGAAGTTACAAACCCAAGGTTAAATGTGGGAAGGCCTCACCTAGCACCTTTTCCTATTAGTCTTCTTATGGCTTTTTCATAGCCACCAGAAACATGTCTGTCATTTAAAATCCCGGCCCCAGAGAGAGATGAGAGAAGGGCTGTAGAGAGGGAAAGAAATCGTGGGCTGTACTAGTTTAATTTGGAATGTAAAAAATTAAATCTCGGTGGGTGGGGGGTTGGCTACTGCTTTCATTAGAACTGCTGCTGTCAAACCAGATTCAGTCGGGCTTTGGTCATCATGTATTATTGCAGTAGTCTCTTTCTGCCACAGGGTCAGACACTGTGGAGCAATTCTATATTGTAAGCACACGCAGTGTTGCTAACCGACTCTGGTACAGGAATAAAGATAAAACTGACTTCCACAGGGAGATGATATGCTAAGCTGTAACAACGCATCTTGTACGGAAGCAGTCAGCAGGGATCACCTCGTCTCTCAGCTGCAGGACCTTCAGCAGCAGGTTGGGATGGCCCAGAAGCTCCTAAGAAATGGTAAACTAGGTGAGACTGGCTCCCTGCTTTAATCCTCTAGCCCCATCCTTTTTATTCATTCTAAGATCACCTTGGACTCAAGGATACTCAGTAATGATTGAAGAATTGAATTTAATTATCCCCATGCCAGCCACAAGATGGCTGTGTAGGCCAAGGAGACCAAACCCTAACCAGCTCAATTTGTGTGGTGTCCTTGAAAAAGGGCCAGATGGTTTGAGCTGTCGTTCTCTTTATGTATCAGATAGCTAAGTTAAAGCTATCTAAAGGGTCTAAAGGGTCATCCCTGACATCCGTGAGTTTTGCAGGTATCCAGAAGTTCAATGGCATTAATTTCAATTCCAGGGCCAAATGACCTAATTTCCTAGAGATTGTTCTGCCCTCATCAGAGCCTCATCTCCCTTCTAGAGATCAGTGGGGCCTGTGCCCAGTGGATATAAGTATCCTGCCTTTTTCCGAGTGGGAGTTGTGGAACTCCTTGTTACCCTTGAAAACTCTGCCTTGGAGCTTGATGTCCTGGGAATGTATTGACCCTACTTTATGAAAGTTGACCTTTAGCTTAGATTTCTGAGTCAAGAGAAATAATGACCATGAGTAGAACACTTCACACTGAAACCAAAATGTTTCAGAGTAAATGTGGGGAGGCCTCACCCAGCACCTTTTTCTATTGAAAGAGAAAACATAAGAACACAAACAGCTTTATTTGAACAAACATGGTGAGTTGGTGACAACCCAAGGAGACCAAGTGAGGTTTCCACATTTAGCCCCAATATGGATGTTAAGAGCTGGGTTCTCGTTTCTATAGCTGGGTCTGTGTCTATAATGAGGCCACTTTTCTTTGAATTGATAGAGCGAGCCATTCAGCTATTGTTGGGGTGCCAGCATGATGCTGAGAGCTTCCTGTCAGCGGAACACAGCATGGTAGGCGCAATCGAGGATGACCTGGCCCAGGCCTATGCCGCCTTAGGTATGGCATGTGTCTTTATTTTCTGCTGGGGGGAACAAGTTTGCCTTGTGTGTTTGGTCATCGTCCTAGCTTTATCCGGTCAGTTATCTCTTAGTCTTTCAACTGAGGCTGCTCTCTCCCTTCCATTTAGCTTTCCGCACTCTGAAAATGTTCATCCACAGTTGATTGTGGTCCTTTTCTGGAACCAGATTTTTCTTTCTTTACAGGGGACTGGCAAAAGTCAGCTACCCATCTCCAGAGGAGCCTCCAAGTGGTCGAGGTTCGCCACGGGCCGTCCAGTGTTGAAATGGGCCACGAGCTCTTCAAACTGGCCCAAATCTTTTTCAATGGGTAAGTCTGTCTCTTGTGGCCTAACACTTCACCAAGCCTCATACTGCTCTGTCTTTTATTAGGCTCTTCTGTGTATGACTTTTTTTTCTATGGTGCTTTTAAGCATGTTGAAACTTCTTTATTTCCCCTTTAGGAAAGATCCTTTCCTTCTGTTTTGCTGACAAATTTGAAGCTGTAGAATTTCCTCCTGAGAAATGTGGGGAAAGCTCTTAGCTCGGAAGGGAGTTTCCTAGGGAGAACTGCCACGCAGCCCCGCCGCCCACATCATAGCAGTTCTTCTCAGTCCTCCCTGCTTACTCACACCTCCCTCGATGTTCTCATTCTCAGCACCCTCAACTCCAGGGGCTCTTTCTTCTCCATGGTCCTATTCCTGTTAAAGCAGTTGTTTTCAACCAGGAGTAATTTTGCCCCCCGCTAGGGGGCTTTTGGCAATGTCTGGAGACATTTTTGATTGTCATGACTCAGAGTAGAGGCCAGAGGTGCTGCTAAACATCCCACAGTGCACAGGACAAGCCCCCACAGCTAAAAATTATCCAGCCTTAAATGTCAGAAGTGTCAAGGTTGAGAAGCCCTGCTTTAAAGGTTAAAAGGAAAGCGCCATGCTTTAAAGGTGAAAGGGAAGGTTAGAAGGAAAGGTTAAAAGTGATGAGTTGATGCCTCATCCACGTTTGCAACTGAGATCTTTGGGAGGCCCTAATTTCAGTATTTCTGGATGGAATGCCTCCAGCCTTGATAAAACTGCCATTAGTGTACATTGGTGAGAGAAAGTGTTTGAAGCTTGATCCTAAGATTATGAATGATGGGTGGACCTGACACCCGAGACATAGAGACAGTCCATTTAGTGAGAGAGAGAGAGACAAAAGGGCTGCAGAGTTAAGTCTAGGGCAGACTGGGTTACTGTAGATGAAGACCCCTGAGTAAACGTTGGGGTAAATATCAGATTAATGCTTTGAGATTTGGCTGTTTCTCAAGATCCTGGAATCTTTATACTTTTTTGTCATAACTTTATTCTCCAACTCCGCCTTGCAGTGGGTTTGTAAAAGACTGTAAGATCCTTGAGGACCAAAATGATCTACTTTATATGCTTCACAGGGTGTGAGTAGGCCCTCAATTAATGTTTGCTTGATTGAATGAATGGATTCATTCCCCTTACCTTCTTTGGTGCAGGTTTGCAATACCCGAAGCTCTGAACACAATACAAAAAGCAGAGAAGGTTCT